GTCTTTAATCAAAGACCAAGTTTTCGAAATAACACTCTCCAACAGTGCAATGTAAGCAATGAAAACATCGCTTTTTTAGCCCCGTGAAGTTGGACCCCCTTTTGACAGAACAAACGATTAAACCCACCTCATGCATTAGTGCTGCGTTTGTGCCGCTTTCGTTCCCGAGATATAGCGCCTTGTTTTTCCGGTGATCACGTGACCATGCACGCGACCTTGACCTCCAGTGACCCCGTCTGCCGAGTTCAAGCGCTGTTACGGGCGCCAGAGTAACAATTCTGCAATTGTGTTCGTCCGTTTGCCCGGGCGGAGGGCGGAGGATTTTGCATTAAATATCAGTCTTCTATGCGTCTGTGTGAGCAGGAAGATTAAATTTGTCACGAATATCACATACCCTAATCAGAAAAGTTGCGGGTGTAGTCTCAAAAAGCGAACACTAGCAAACAATTGCATGTTCTTACCAAGAGGCTTTAACGAGCACGTCTTAATACTTCGTAGCGGTGTGCTTTTAAAATCTGAAGAAGTGATCAGTTTCTCACTGTCTCCTTCTTCAATAAACACGCGCATCAAGGGAAGTGTAAAGATTCGACCCGTGAGTCCAGCCACGTGTTCAAAAAGGCTTGAATCTGCAACTTTACGAACAAGACAAATATGGGTACCTGTGTTAGAGCCTCAGGTGAAGTCGAGTCTTCTGCAGTCTGCAATGTAATGACCCAGACATGTTTGCTTGTCCTGCTCCATGAAGTTGCCCACCCGCCAGTCGAACAGCACAAACGATGAAACCCGCCGCAATCGACAGTGCTGCGTTTGTGCAGGTTTGTGTCGCTGTAAGTAGCGTTTGTGTTGCTTTCGTTTCCAAGATATAGCGCCTTGTTTTTCGGGTAATCACGTGACTATCTACAAGGCCGTTAACAGGTACCAACAAACTCGGTACTTGAATTCCTAATTGCGATTAAAACAATGGGGGCAATTTGTTTTCCGACTCTGTCTGGTCGGGTGGGGTGGATGTTTCAGTTGACTTTGCAGCCATTACGCGAATAAGCAGTCTTATATTTAGGGAGGAGTAAGGTGTTTTCTTTTGATTTTTAACCATGTTCTCGAAAATGTATCGCTTGTGTACTCCTTTCATTGGTGAAGAGACACTAGTTTCCAAATTAACGCTGGTACAACACGAGAGCCCACATTCACATTTTTAGGTATTAGTTTCAAGATCGATATAATTTAACAATAAAAAACAAAATTGAAAGCACGAGCATAATAATATAACGAAATGGGGTTCAGGT